CTCTAGGCGGTAGGCATGAGGTATCGGGTCCTGGTGGTGAGCGCTCTTTTGCTTTTTTCGATAATATGAGTTGAAAAAAGGCTTTTCGCGACACGTTGTTTCGTCATTGCCTGCCTTTCCCAGCCTGTGTAAAGAGTTTGCGAGCGCCTGGTTGCAGGTAAGACACGATTTCTCCATGCTTGAACACGACGCTTATAGCTCCCTAATCAGGCGTTTTTGCGCAAAACGAGTATGATTTTCGTGCTCAGGGGATAAAACTCACTCGGGAACAAGCTTCTAACTATTATATATCTGAGATTTTGACATATCTCGAGAGAGGGCAGTCACCGAAGTCAGCCAAGCGCGAAGGGAGGAATCGAAAACGAACTGGCAAAAGCACCACCCTTAAACTGAGATGCAGAGCCATGTAAATCATTCCCCTCATTCGCAAACTTAAATCAGTTGAACGTTTTGCTCGGAATTTTGGTTGAAGGGGCGATTTCCATCCCAAGGGTTCAACGATAAATTGATGATACGGTGGTTGATGATGGCTCACCTCGCCTAATTTCAATAGTTTGGGTCAAAATCTCAGATTCGGTAGGAAACTTATCTCCAAGGGTAGTTTGATCTCCTGAACACGAATATCACGCCTGTTTGCCGCGAAAAAGCCTGACACTGCATTACGGGCACCATTGGCATACATGGACAAATGCGGACACTGCCCAAACCTGCAAGGAACTGCTCACAAACTTCATAGAGGCAACTGATGGCAAGTGTTGATAAATTGACAAAGTTGGAAGCTTTCCGGCTATGGGTTTCAGGTTTCGTGGCCTTTTAAAGTGATGATGCATCACGGCTTTTTGGACCCAAATGAACTTGATACAATACCATGGTCTGTCCGTCGCACCGACGTGTGCACTGGGAACAGCTAGGTTTATATCCAGGAGAAGGGAAAGGAACCTTCATAGTGACACCCATCCACATGTCGCATAAACGACTTTGCAAGATACGGGCGAATCGACTTTTTCACCTCTGCTTTTCACAGTGTACTCACAGGCTCTTCCTCACCAAGTTTGAGTTTTTCAGCCATCTCGACAGCTTCTTGGGCAGAAAAAGGTTTGAAAACAGACATGGTGGAAAAGACTTCGCCGATATCCACGCTTCTACGGTTCCTATATTTTGAGTTCGTGCATTGAAGGAAGCGATTACGATAGATCTCACAGGGGTTTAGAGGGGACGTGAGGGTCTCAATAGTACGCCAATGGCGAAAAAAGCAAAGAAATCCGTCAAAAATAAGCAAAATAGTACCCCTTTGATTGCCCTTTCATTTTCGACCATGGATGAGCGACGGTAAAGAACGACGTTGTTCGGACGTGTTAACCCCGATAGCCGCCATCATGCCAACAAGCATAGTGTTTTGATTGATAAGGCAATACGTGGGCAAGTTGGAAGATACAGCCGCTAGAAGGGAAATGATCATCCAAAATGAAAAGCCAACAGCAAACAGTCCATCCAGATCATCAACAAAACTAGTGGGCGTCACGTCACTGGGGGGGGCGTCACGCGGGTCCTGCTCAGCAACCACAGCACCTTTCGCCGTGGGAGGGCCACACATCGCTTCCTTGGCAGCCAAGTAATTGCTCCGTGTGGCGG